GACTAATTTTCTCTTATAAATTAAATCTTAATAATACATGTTTTTTAAATACCCATGCAACATATGTTACTATTATAATACTGATTTTTATAACAAAGTACATCTTAAATATACTGTATAAAACCAGCAGCAATTGATTTGTTGAGGACCGAAATAAAAAACGTAGATTTGGCACAAGCAAATCTATTTTCCATCTGCTTGAAATGGTAAAGACTTGGTTAAAGAGTGGTCGAATTGACAAAATGTTAGCAGTTTATTCTTGTTAAAATAAAGTAAATAACATAAATAAAGCATCTGCTTTGCAATAACAATTGAAGAGCCAGAAACCCTGGTTTTATTTTCACCAAAATGATCTGTCAACATCTTCATTGTCAGGGTTACTTTAAACCAGACGACTGATTTATACCAAAGTTATGTTGCAGCTACTGTGTGGATGTCACAAACTTAAGTCTTCCTATTTAGGTGTGCACGTTTCTTGTTTCAGATGGTGGCAATGCATTGACAACTGCAAACTGGATTTATTGTGAACATAACTGCAGATTCAAATCATGATGCTAGCTAAAAAGTCAGATTTTCATGACATCATCAGCAAGTTAAATGGATCATATTTGGGTCATTGTTTTACTTAATCTAATGACATTTGATGCACTCGCTGTAAGATTTTAAACTGATGAAGTGATACGGTCATTCCTTACAGCCTTGTTTTTAAAAAGATGTGTCAACATTTTTCAAGTGCCCTGCATTTGATTTTTAAGGTGGAATGGCTCCAACAGCAGGTGGTCCACAGAAGAGCAAAGAGGACCTCTGGAAAGAGTCACGTCTATTCTTCTAACATAGAGCCCAAGGACCTAAATGCTAACATCCATCAGTCTAACAGCCCCCAGACTGAACCCTCTGCTCTTCCTGTGTGGGACAGGCTGTGGTACATGGTGAGTCAGGTTCTGTTTTCTTTACAACAATTTTGAAATATCGACACTTAAAGACAAACAAAGCGTTAAAACCAATTTTTACTTCTTAAGAGATAAGTTGCATGTCCTGCTGTTTGCTTCACAGCATTGCAGTGAGTCAAACGCCTGCCAGTCTCACATGAGCATCGCGGGGGCCTGGAGGAGAGGATACTCTGGGAAGGATGTGGTGGTGTCTGTCTTAGATGATGGCATTGAGAAAGAGCATCCCGATCTGAAGCCAAATTATGTAAGTGCCCTGGGATAGGAGGCTCTTCTCAGGAAGAGGACATTAATCATAAGCAATTTGGCCGAGCTTTTAGTGGAAGAGCAAGGAGCCCAGACCGATATTGCAGGCAAGAGCACTTGGGTTAAAGGTTTAGAAAGGCTGGTTAAGAGTATTGGAATGGACATTAAATGTCTGATCCACTTAACTGTGTAGGGACTGGTGAATAATGCTCTTTGTGATTTGTCTGATGAAATGGAGACAGATAGCTGCTGGCATGTGCTGCTACTTACTATTGTCTTGATTTAGGATCCACTTGCCAGCTATGATGTGAATGGACAAGATCAAGATCCTTCGCCAAGTTATTCTGACAAAGCTGCTAACTTGTGAGTACATTTTATCTCTAGGTCTCTCTGCACCTGCTGTGAATCCTCCTAATCACAATACAGTTGTTAATTAATGCAAGTTTTCTATTCCGTTTTTTCCCCAGTAATTGTATGCATGTATCGATGTGCAAATGTCCCAGTGTGATTTTTTTCGTTTTGTTTTGTCACCGACTTGATGTGGTGGAAATGCTCCATCTTCTCCTCATGCATATGCATCCAACCTCAATTTCTGATGTTCTCCTTCCTTTTTATAAAGGCATGGGACTCAGTGTGCAGGAATGGTGGCTGCAGCGGCACAAAACTCCCCGTGCACTGTTGGAGTCTCGTTCAATGCTCGGATAGGAGGCAAGTCCATGCAATGGCATGAAAGCATCAGTTTGAGATCAGAGTTTAGTTGTGGGCTCACAAATATTTTTTTTCTCACCACTTCCTGTAGGCATCCGTATGCTGGATGGAGATGTAACAGATATTGTGGAAGCCCAGTCTTTAAGTTTCAGGCAGCAGTATATTGATATTTATTTAGCTGGCTGGGGGCCAGAGGACGATGGGGCCACTTTGGAAGGACCTGGACCTCTGGCTCATCTTGCTTTGAAAATTGGCGCTGAAACAGTGAGAGAAAGAGGGCGGGGGGAAACTATTTTGCTATGTTTGTTTACTTCATTGTCTGCATTATTTCTATTTCTTCATAAGTTTTCATGTATTCATGGTAGGCCTTTTTCTGCTTCCCAAAACAAAAAAGGGCCGAAGTGGGAAGGGTTCGATTTTCGTGTGGCCGTCAGGGAACGGTGGGCGTGCAGGTGACCACTGCTCCTGTGACGGCTACAGCAGCAGCATCTACACCATCTCTGTCAGCAGCGCCACTCACAGGGGAATCCAGCCAGATTACCTGGAACAATGTTCCTCCACGCTGGCAGCAGCCTATAGTGGTGAGGAGACCAAGGACATGGTGAGTTTAGCTAGGCTCTGAGAAAAATCTGAAATATTTCGATGCTAAGACTAGTACTTTGCATGTATTTCACGTGTCAGACTAATAATATA